CTGTGCCCAAGCGATTAATTTCACATTATGGGGATGTTTTTTTTTCAGATGTCTTTTTGTAGCAACATTGGCCCAAAGAATTACAACTTCTGTTTGCCTGAAACTCTATGGATGTGTTAAGCACAGAAATACAAATTCTTTTAGCCACAACTAAACAAAGTAATAATAGGATAATGTTTTTATTTATTTTTCAGGGGCAAATGTTCTTTTCCCTCAGAAGCAGAGAGGAACTTCCAGAACTGATCACAGGTAACGGCAGATTCCAATACTTCTTGTTATTTTTATGATGTTTTCTCATCCCAAGAAAAAATCAGAGAGAAGCAACAAATTCTTTCCTGGAACTGAAATATATACATATATGTTATATATATTCATATTTATATATATATTTTTTTAAACCAGAAAATTGCCTTTCTTTCCAAACAAACAAACAAACAAAAAAGCCTTAAAGATCTGTCATTGGAGGAGCTGAGAACTCCTGAAGTAAGATTACAGGAGATGCCCCTCCTCTAGACCTCTTCCCTTGGCTGCAACATCTGAGAAGGCTTCAGTTGCTCGTAGTTGTGCCAGGCTCTGCTGCTTCTTTCTGTACCTGATTACACACCTGCATGAGAGTTCACTTACTGTCAAGTAAATGTGAAGTGGAATCACATGTGTAGAAATTATGGTGTTGTTTTGTTTTTTAAATGAGGAGCATTTATTCTTCCATGTTCCTAGGATGCACAGCTGCTTGCTTTGACTCCTGCCAACCTGCACTACTGCTTCCCTGGGGTTTGTCTGCAGGAAGGAGAATCATGGAATCACACAATGGCCCTGATTGGAAGGGACCTCGATCATGAAGCTCCAACCCCCCACCACATGCAGGGCCACCAACCTCCACATTTCATAGCAGCCCAGGCTGCCCAGGGCCCCATCCAACCTGGCCTTGAACACCTCCAGGGATGGACGGGGCATCCACAGCCTCTCTGGGCAGCTGTTCCAGCACCTCACCACTCTCATAGCAAAGAACTTCCCCTCATATCCAACCTAAATCTCCCCTCCTTCAACTTCAAACCATTTCCCCTAGCCCTTCTATCACCTACCCTTTCAAAGAGTTGAGTCCCCTCCTGTTTATAGGCTCCCTTTAGCTATTTAAAGGAGTGGGGTGTCCCACTCTGCGGTGCCACTGTGCTGGGCTGTGCCCACAGTATGGAAAGGGAAACCCTTTCTGTTCTCCATGGGGATGGAACTGGATGATCTTTAAGGTCTCTTCCAACCTATGCCATCCTCTGATTCTGTATCTTTTCTGGAATAGAAATTTCCGGAAAGATCTGTTCTGTTTTTTGTTTTTTTGGTTTTGTATTTTATTTTATTTCTGTTCTAAATCCTTGGCCCTTATCTCCTGTTGCAATAGCATTCAATCACAGCCAAATTCTTATCTCACAGCAGGTAAAAATGTGAGAGATGAAATCTCTCCAGCCCATGTTTTGTGGGGGCTCCTTGCAGCCAAATGGAATCTCTGATTTTTTTTAAAGCAACAACAAAAACTTCTTTCATGAAGAAATAAATATGAATAATAAATAAATAAAGAGCAAAACCCAGGAGGGAGAGAAGGGTACTGGAGGCCTGACTTACCCCTGCTCAGCTCTCAACTGCACATTAAATAGCAAGTGCTGTCATTTCAGTTCACTGTGCTTTATTCATTTGCAGATCATGTTCAAGGCTGCAGCAGAGGTTGGTGGGACTTTCCAGGTACCAGCACATGGGCAGCACGTGGCAGCAGCACTGACAGCACTGCACTGTGTGGCAGCAAACAGCTCCAGGTCTGAACTCTGCTTCTGAGCCTAGAGCAGGTACATGATGGCTCTGCTTTCCCCACCAGCCCCAGCCCCCAGAGCACACTGCTGCCAGCTGCCACATCGCAGCTGCTGCTCCATTGGCTTTTTGGAAGCCTTGAGTGTTCTTCCAGAGCTTTCTGGACATCAGTTTAAACTGAGCTTGCAGTGAATTTGGAGCTAAGTTACCTGTGTTTTGGGGTTTTGTAAATCAGCATTGAATTGAAGGCACTCCATTACTGGGTTCTCAGGGCATCCCGTGACGTGAGGGCTTGCTGCTGGTGCTGCTGTTGGTGCTGCCACAAACCACAGTGAGGGACCTGGATGCTGTGTCCCGGTGTGGCTCCGTGCCCAAGTTTCACCAGCCAAAGCCTCGGCAGCTGGCAGCTCCCAACTTACCTGCAGATGCTACCCGCGTTCGTGGGGACCAACTAAGGGCAGGACCCAGGCTTGTGGGCTGAGCTGCAAACTCACTTGGCTTCGGTGCCTTTAATTCAACGTTATTACAGTTGGCTGCTATTAAATTTGAGAGCGGTGCCCACGGCCCGATTTAAGCCTGGGCGTCCCAGCGTGCTTGGCGTTTTGCAATGAGAGGAGACAGTCCCTGCCCCGAAGAGAACATCACAGGAACTTTTTTTTCTGGTGATTTAATCATAATATTGACAGCTTTATCAAAAATTACAAAACTGATATTAAAAAAATTTCTAATTCTTAGTAAGACTAGAATGGGTTTCTTTTTTAAAAATAGAAAAGCACTTTTATGCTACTGCTCTTCTGGAATTCTCACATTACAACCCTACATAGCAAAATACAAATGTAGCTAAGAAAGGTAGCAGGCCTAAGGTACTTCAGTCCACCACGAGCCCTCTAACAACTTCTATACCATCAAACTCAGGGACTCCAAAAGGGTATCACAGTACTTAGAAACCTTCTGCAAAACTCAGTTAGGAAATACCTGGTAATGTTACGTTCCTTCTAACCCCGAAATCCTTAGACTGTGAGTATGAGACCTGGGACAGCAGAGGTGGGAATTAGTATTATTTTTTTCCCTCAGTGAATATTACTTTTGCAGCTGATTCCAGCAAAACATTCTCTGCAAGAAGTGAAAATACGAAGAAAATCCATCAAAACATATGAAAAAAAAAAAATATATATATATATATATTTTTTTTTATGGTGTTCACAAAATGCACCATAACAGAAAGAGGAATATTTCCTTTCATCGGAACGCCCCAACCGCGCCGGCACCGCGGAGCGGAGGAGCAATAAATAAATAAATAGTGGGAGCCACGGCTCCGCGGGGCGGTTCTGTGTCACTGTGCCACGGACGGACAAAAGCCTCCTTCCACTTTCCACAATGGAGTATTTTTTTTTTCTTTTTTTTCTTTTTTTCCACCTTTTAAATATAGGAATTCTCTCTTAAATTAGAAAGTAGGCAAAAAGTATTCTTCTTTCTTTTTTTTTTTTTTTTAAAGTTTCATTTTAAGTCTTCTATTAGAAAAAATAGAGATTTATTAAACAAAAAATAATAAGGTAGAAAGAAGGGTTGGGCCTCCATCAAAAAAGTATATTATGCTTTAATGCAAAGAGAAAGAAATGGCTCTATGGGCAAAATTCAAGTATGAGTGACCAGTTTTTTAATCGTAAAGTAGGTGCAACATTTTTTAAAATGTTACAACACCGCATGACCTGTAATGCTCACAATATTTACATTAACTGCTTACACGAAACCATAAAAACTCTAAAAGAGAAAAACAAAAAAAAAAAATGGTATGGACTGAAACAAACTACTCCTAGCACCCACATCAATGCCATTATTAACCAATGAAATCAAGTGCACAAAAATACTTTACATAGTCTACTGATGTAAAGTATACACCGGTGAGGAAGTACAAACCTAAGGAGTCAGATGCCAGAAGAAGGTTGCTCGATACAAACTCCGCTCTAGGACAGAAAGCAAAGGCAGAACCCAACCGAACGGAAGCAGGCACGCACGCAGGCAGGCGCACACCGCGGCGTGGCCGTCCGACACAGGCGGGACACACGGCAGCAAAGCGGGCTGCGATGGGAATGGACAACGTCAGCTCTTGGAACGTAACAGACACATCAACTCGGAACATAAAAATGCCAACTAAGCTACACCAAAAAAAAAAAAAAAAAAAAAAAAAAAAAAAAAAATCACTCCACATGAGTTTGCATGTAGGACCGTGGCGTTACACACATGACAAATGAACCTACCCCGCGGAAGGAAGGGCTCCTGCTCCAGGCCCCTGTAGCCAGTGTAGCTATTGCGATCCCTCGGGCTGGGGAAGGAGGAGAAAGAGCTGTTTGGTGAGACACGAGGAAGCGGTGAGCCTGGAGGGACTGCTCTGTGCCGGAGCCCTGGGGGCTGGGTCCTCAGGGTCAGCTGGCCTCTGCCACGGGCTGCGTGCAGGGCTGCTGCTCCCAGAGCCAACGGGACGCTGACTGCTGCCAGTGCTGGGCCAGGGGAAGACAGAGGGGAGCTCTGGCTGTGCCCGGGGGCCAGCGGTGACCTGGGAGCTATTTCAGGAAGCCCTGAGGACAGAGGGTGTCACTGCTTCCATCGCCATCACCACCATCCACGTGAAAAATGTATGAGCTAGAATGGAAATAACGTTGTGCTACACTTCTGTTCGTTAATTTATAATGGCTCATAGCTTTAGACTTTTAAATCTGTAGTGTATTAATTTTTTCTACATTTGTTTCACATTTCTCACTTAATATAACATAAATAATTTGGTTAATAGATTTAACCTGCACATTTCAGCCACATTAATATATATAAGAAATCTGTTAATGGTATAAATAATTCTTTTTAAATAAAATAAATCTGATATGTTACATAATACTGATAAAAATTACTGCTGCTAATAGTTCTGTAAGCCACCCCTGATTTTCTGTTTCAGGACTGTGAGATGGGTCTGGGATAACCTCTCTGAGCGCTGGGAGCATGCCGTGCGTTCTGCAAAACCAATCTGCAGCCAGCACCAATCACGGGTTGGAGCCCCATTAACAGCCAACGCGATGCTTCACAATGTCAGGTAATTTCAGCTGATCAACCTAGGTGCTTGGGGGTCAGGGTTACTGGAGATAGAAAGTCTTTACTTTAGCAGGTGGCTATGAAACCTTAACTACAGAAATAGCTGACTAAAATAGCCCATCTACTTTTTTTTTTTTTTTCCTTTAATAAAATCTACACCATTCTACTTTAAAAGTTAAGTAAATAAAAATGCAACCAACAGTTGCAGCCTTTGAATCATTACTTAGAGCTGTGATCCCACGTCCCGTTAGGAATCTGCAAGGTTGCACTCTCCTACAGAGACCTGAAATGGAGTACAGTACTTCCAGGCAAGGTTCATTCCAAACAGACAGGATAAATGGACACTCAGTGGCGTGAAGTGTATGTCATAATTAAGGTATTACATAATCATGCCTTCTCTCTGCTGTTAAATACAAAAACAGCATCTTTTACATTATCATATAAAAGCATTTAGGCTGTATTTTTATTTATCACTTTACACTGGTAGTCTCTTGTATGTGTACTCAATAGAAACCAAAGAATTTTGTACACTATTTTTTTGTACAATAAAAGATAAAGTGTGCATTAGGTACGCTTGTACATGACAATATTGTACAATATTTACATTTCAGATATCACCATGAAATTCTGTATTATCTATATACACAATGAAAATTTCTCAGAAACATTTGGACTATTCCTTATAATCACAATTTTAGTATTATAGAAAAAAAAAAAAAAAAAAAAAACCAAAACAAAAACAAACAAAAAAAAAAAACAAACCCTCAGTAATCATCTGACATGGTTACTGTAACCTTCCCAGATTTCTGATTGGCTTTTCCAGCAACCGCTCTCCCTCCTGCTCATCCACACACTGTACCACACTCCACGTAGCACCCCGCGGCGGCGGCCGTCTTCATATAAATATTGATATAACCACGTCTATATCAATACCTACATACAGACTTATGTGCACGTTCGTTTTGATAAGTACTGGACCAGTAACAAAGACATTCAATGTTATCTAGAGATCTTCCTCCTCTTGGGTTTTGGAGGCTTCACTTGTCTGTCTCCCTGTGGGATTTGGTGGACCTAGAAATAAGTACAGCCACGGGTTAGTGAAGAAGATTGGTCAGAGTAACCAGCCAAAAGCAAACGAGCCGTGGGCTGCTGAGATGCTGCTCAGCTGCCCTCATGGAATCATTAAGGCTGGAAAAACCCTCTCAGATCCCCACATCCAACCCCACTCACCCCCTAATGCCCACTGCCCACATCCCTCAGTGCCACCTCCCCACAGCTCTGGGACACCCCCAGGGATGGTGACCCCACTCCATGGGCAGCTGTGCCACTGCCTGACTGCTCTCTGGAGAAGGAATGGTTCCTCATATCCAACCTGACCCTCCTTGGTACAACTTGAGGCCATCACAGCGGCTCTCAGAACTTCATGTTTACATGGACACAGAGTTCCACATCCTCACAGCCCGGGGGAGAAGAAGGCAGCTCCTGGCTGCCGCAGTCTGTGTGCCCCAAAGCTCTGTGACCTCAGGGAAAGTGCCAACTGAACTGAGACTGCAGTTACACCCCATTCTGTGACACAAATCTTTATCAATCATTCTGACAGTAACAATTAATTACAAATTATATGTCGAGAAAATACTGGTAACGTGAAAAAAATCTACCAAAGTCAGGATTACTAGGGAAGGAGCTCTGATCAGCAAACTGTTTCCCACTCATCACTACGTGCAATTCCCCAATTTGAGCTCGGTGCTGGATGAAGCACTGCTGAGTGCTCAGCACAAGCACAGTGCTGCCAGAAGGGCCATGGAGTGCCACCACCATCTGCTGGCGGCCGCAGCTCCTGGCCACAGCTGGGCAGAGGCTGCACAGCCCCAAGCAGTGCTGTCAGTCACCTCCTGGCTCCTTCCTGAACGCCTTCAGACCATGACCATTTGCTGCTCATTTATTGGCTCTTCCCAGCAGAAATGATGATTTAAGCTCATTATCTTGTTTGCACACTTAAAGTGTAACTGATGACTGAACTGCAGGAGCTGAAAAAAATGCAAGTCACCAGAAAGGGAATCATTGATTCCCTATGATTGTTTCGAAGGATCATCATTTTCGTGGAAATAAACCCTGATGACAAATTTTGGGACCAGATAATTACAATATAAATCAAGACTAAGCAGTGACATGCAGGTTGGTGGAGCAGTTTGTTGGCATGATGGAAGCATCCATCAGCTTGTCCTGCTGCAGTGCCTTCACCTGAACCAGTCTGTATCACAATCAAATGTGTATTACTTATAATTTTATAGCATTGCTGCATTTAGATATGAAGGAAAGGTAACTGTCGCCAGCAGGACGGTGTCTGAGCACTTAAGTGCTGCCATAACTGACACTAGGGATGCACGTGCTGCATGCAGCCCCATCTATTTGCACCAGACCTGCAGTCAGATCCAGCTTTCACATCAAAACTCAATCTCGCTTCACAAAATTCCCGAGTTTCACCAAAAGCTTTGGATTTGTTATTACTTATGGCAACCACTAAGAGCTGCTGAATAATTTATTTAATATTTCGTGGTGGTTCTGAAGTCAGCTCCACGTCTGCAGTTCAGAACAGATTTCCTTTTATGTCCTCCAGCAGCTCCCGTGAAGCCTTACTCATTCTCCCAAGTATGCATGTGTACACGCATCCCCAGCAATGAGCCGGCTATCAGGAGAAAGAAATTATTCTGCATTCAAACAATGTATAAGTTAATAATTATAAGAACTGCTGATGCTAAGATCGGGGAGGCTATACTGCAATACACTTCTTTGCATTTCTGTGTGTGTTTTAAAGACATGTTTCAAATACAAAGATGAACACATTGTGCTGGATGCCACCAGGCAGCCTGGTCTGGTGGTTGGCGACCCTGCACATAGCAGGGGGTTGAAACTGGATGATCACTGTGGTAATTACAATCCAGGCCATTCTATGATGGTGATTAGATACACAATTCTATGATTACATGAGCCAATTTTTATCCTATTTATTGATCTTATGCAATAACAGCGTGAACGTTTTTATAAGAGTTCTGCTGGCCGTGATGTCAGGAAGACTCTACCTCACCTGTCAGGGCAGCTTCCAGTCAACATAAGGAAAATGTTATTCAGAAAGTTTGATATGCAAAAGAACAATGTTTTTAAGTGTGGTTTCAATGAATGAGGCTGATCTGTCAGCAGCCAGACAGCCCCATAGCATGCGTGGCACCCAGAAGCTGTCAGCTGGATGTGGAACTACACACAGGCATCCAGCTCTTACAAAGCAATGCAACTGCAACACCACTGAAATGATGCACCTTTTCCCTATTTTTCAGAAGGACCAGACATTTGCAAACAGTTTGAAAGGCAAGAAGAATACTGACTACTCCACATCATTTTACAAAATGAAAAGAACATTTCTCTTAGAAAGTAACCCCAGCCAGCAATCCCAGCCCTCAGCAGGCAGACACACACACACACACACAGAAAAGGGACACGATTATTGCCAACGTGAAAAGAAACTTACATTCCCAGACATTTTGTCTAGTTCACTCATGGCCTCATGTATAGCAGCTTCTAAATGGTTATTTAGCTTTCCACTTCTAGGAAGAAAAGATTAATGGCATCAGTAATTCTTAGTAGCAGAAAAACACTTAAAATTAATAATAAAGACATTAACTCATCAGACACAGTCTGGCATCCGCAGAGCCTCCCAGGTTGGTGCAGCACAAACAGCACAATCGGATCTATAAATAACATGATGCTGGCTAAAGGCTTGTGTTAGAATTACAGAGGAAAAATAGAAGACAGCACTTCGGCGACATGTACTGTTAGTTACAGCATCCACAAGACAAATGGCATCGTGGAGAACAAGAGCACTTGGCAGTAACCCAGCATTCTGTGCGATCTGGTGTTGGGTATTTCTTATAGAAGAACATCAACATTCCTCAGACCACAGAAATTCTAAGATGAACTGAAACGGACTCATGCAAAGCCAGACATATCCACATGGGTTTCTGACTCCCTGCAGCTGGACTGCAAAAATAAATGTAGGTTTGGCAGTGTGGACAAGTGATGGCACCTCTGGATGCGATAAATGACAGCACAATGTTGTTTGGTAGCAAGGTAGCTTCCTGGACAGGTAATACAATTCCATCTATAATACAGCCTCATTAATAACTGATAGCAATGCTGAATTTAATGTCGTTTAGCAGCAGCTTTCAGATCAAATTCCTTATGTAATGGGAAGTTATTTAATCACCACTAAGCTCTGTCAGCAACCCTATATATGTTTTTGCAGATTTTTTCCCTTACTGTTTCAGAATCTCTCTTTTTTTTTTTTTTTTTGTCAGATAACTAAAAACCAGTGTTTGGAAAACCAAACCAAAATACTTTTCCATAGTATTTCCCCTAAATTGAGTTAATAGAAGTCAATTTCAAATAGCACTGATGAGTTCCGTTCTACAAAACATCCCCAGTGAATGGCATTAGGTAAGGACAGATGTGCCTGCACAAACAACCTGCATTGCTCAGAGCTTCCAATGAAAACTAGAAGGAACTGCAACACTTCATTCCACAGGTATGCACACTGCTACAGCTTTCGCAGCAGCAAAAATCCTGCACTGACATTGTAAGTTGGAATTTGTGCTTTAACACAACTGCATTGGAGGCGACTCAGCAAGAAACCTCTGGGATATTCAGTGTCCAGCAGCATTTCAGTAGTAACCAGTTCAAACAACATGCTGGCAAACACTGAAATGGCACAGAACAGTTCCACTGTTTCCCTATTAAAAGGATCAGGGTGTCGTTTTTCATTGTGGATGTGGGTTTTTCTTTTTTTTCCCCCATAAACTCAATAGGAAGTATGGCAAAGCCAAAAATGACTAATGTGACTTCATCTAGGCTGATGTTCACTGTCACTAGCACCAGCACTTAAAAGAACCAAAGCAATATTACTTAGGAGGTTGATTTCTTCATGTGTTGCCTTTGGATAGAAGCTTGGCTAGACGACTGCTTGAGGTCTTTTCCACCCCCACAAGATGCTCATGTAATTACTGCCAGTAGTGCAAACAGCCGTTTGAAAGTATTTGATATACAAACGATGATATGCAGTCTTAAGACACAGCTGCTATGTGTTTTTAATAGCAACACTTCACTATGAAGATGATGAACTGTCCTCAAGAAAACCAGTGTTTCAGAAGGGCCCATCACTGAGATATCATTTACAGCAGGCAACACTCTGACAACCAGAGAACCGGACATCAGGTGAACAAATGCAATAGTTTGCTGGTGATCTGAAACAACCTGCAAGCACCACAGTGTTGAAGGCAAAGAGCATGAAGTCTTCACAGAATCATTAAGGATGGAAATGACCTCTAGGATCCCCAAATCCAGTCCACGTCCCTCAGTGCCACATCCCTATAGCTCTGGGACAGCCCCAGGGATGATGACCCCCCCACTCCCCACAGTGGCAACTGTGCCACTGCCTGACTGCTCCTTCATGGAAGAAAGTGTTCCTAATAGGTAGGATTTTTTCCTAATGATAGGAACACAAAGAATGAAACATCATTTTCAGGATCTGGATGTTAACCTTGCTCTGCTCAAGACACTGAACTGATGTGCTGCTAGTCCATATTCTCTTGGACTTCTTTGCCTGTCCTTATTACAGAAGTGTCCAACTCAATGTCAGTACCTGGTATGTGTAAGTGCTGGGTACTCATCCACGCAGCAGCAAAAAAGAGTTGTGTGACACGTCTAACAATTAAATCTAATGGTCGATATTCCAAAATTGTGGACTCGTGTGGAACAAGAGGCACATGCACCACAGCAGACCATAAGGAGGTCAAAAGCTGTTTCAGACAAATCCAGCACAGAGCACAGGTCAAAGAGAAGGAGCTGCCCTCTGGTGCACAAACAAAGAGCAAAACATTTGAAGTGTCAAATATGTAGAAGTAGAAATATGGAGAAAAACCTGTCTGGGCTGTGAAGTAACCCTATGAAAAGAGGCACCTGAGGCCCCAAGCTGCTGGGGTACCTGACAGCTGCTGTTTCCTAAAGTGCAAGCAATGATGCAGAACCAGTAACTCCACAAAAAGGCAACTGGGTTCAGTGCAATTCTGGACAGCTTTTGCAATCTGCTAAATAAGCAACTGCAAACCAGAAGACGGGAGTTCTTCTTAAATTGCACTGCTTGTTCCAGCTTCAACTCCTCTTTCCATGTGCTGCTGCTGCCACCTTCCTCAAGTTGTGTATTTTGCTTCAGGGAGCAGCAATAGCTGGGGGTGCCAGCAGCCCTCCTGGCTGCTCAGTGCTCACCCTCAGACTGCACTCAGATGTTCTGAGGATGGCGTTGAAAGAAACCCAACGTTGTCTTGATGGCATTAAAAATATTTCTCCTAAGCACTGCATGACATATAAATAGAGAAAAAGCTTACACCTTAAAAGGAGCTGAGGGCGAATAATTATTTAATTCCTGAAAGTCTGTGTTTATTGTTCTGAAGGCAGCACTGCAAACTGACTGAATGCTCACAAAGTGATGCGTTTTCACCACAACAGTAAATAAACACCACCATCCCGGAATAACCCCCATCTCTACCCTTGTCCTTTGACAGCTGTCAAGATTTTTTTTCCCCTAAAGCCAATTTCATTTTCCTCTTTCTGTGTATGCTTATGCTTCACCTCTTCAGGCTTCCCAGTCTTTCTGTCCTTGTATGTTTGTAAATGAAGGCCAAAAGGTGAGAGGAAACCAACCAGGTCAGAGGTGTGTGACTGCATGGGAGCTGCTGCCCAGCTAACTGCAGCCAGCCCTCGAGAAGCTCCTCTGCAATGGGAAACAACAGAACTTATCCAAATACAGGCAGGCTCTGCCTGCTGCAGCAGCCCACAGAGGGAGAGGGAAGAGATAAGAAGGGCAGATCCTGTGAAAAATTGGATTCGGTCAGAGCAGTTTGGATGTAATAACTTTTTTTTTTTTTTTTTTTGCTGTAAATTAGAATCCCACACATGAAAGCTCAAACAAGCAGGCTGACATTTTACAAAGGCTACAGTAAATATCAGAAGATGCAATAAAAATGCAGATATCAAAGATCTCGGATGATTATCACAACCAGCACAAGGAATTCAGAAAATTAACTTTTCATTTTGGCAGATCTGCAAGGGTCCCCAAAAGGAGTCCCTGGAAGCAAAAGAATATGATTATTCATCCCACTGGTAAACAAATGAGCACACACTTACTTTCTGTTCCTTTTCCTGGCTCGGTTGTAAGCTTCTAGACCTTCTGTTAGTGTCTTCAACTTCTCTGGCTCCACCTGAGTGAAGGTATGAACACCAAACCACATTACCCAGACCTGCAATTATCAAACACTGCTTTTACTTTACTGCTAGACATGCATTACTGCGGAGCCTAAAGTTCACCGCATCCGTAAGACACAACGTCCCAGCAAAGAAGAAATCAATGCACAACTACGTGCATCCCCTCAGACATGTATGTATGCATCACAGTTTCTCTCCGTATCCACACTACCCATACAAGTGTAAGAAGTAAAAACACAGCATGTAGGAAAACAAAACTAAGAGGGAAAGTAATACTTCAGAACGCAGTTTGTCTTTACAGCATTAATACAAACATTGCTGTTGAAGCCTCACGTTCCGTACTCACTCCACAGACACACCTGATATCTCTGGAGCTCCTCGGATGTGTTACAATAGCACTGTGCCTAATGCACATGGCACAGTTCTTACAGACACCACCACGTGAAGGTTTGGCACGCCCTCACGTTTCAGGTCCCAGCCCAGCAGCGCTGCTGGCACACCCATGCTCCAGCTGAAGGCTTCTGGCCTTGAGGAGACTGGTGTGGGATGAGGGCTTGTTGTGTATGCTGAGTGAATGACTTCCAACCAGTGTCCGACTAATTCAACCAGCTTGGGGAAGGTCTTTCCAATTTTTTGGCCTTAAGCACATGCTTTAGTGCTCTGCTGAGTGAGTAACAAAGCTGGCTGTGCTGCACAGGGCTGCTGAGCTGGTGTCGAAGGCACTGTAACTGCAAACTTCAGTTCTCCCAAAATCAACCAAATTGGTTTCCTTTGAGCAATAAACCACAGCCTCTGACCAATGGTACCAGGCAGTGCTGCTGCAAACAACACAGACATGAAAGAAAATGAATGGCATCGTCTGCAGGACCTTATCATCACAACATTATTCCACTCAACTCTTGGTATTGCTTAAATTTGATTCACAGCCATTTCTGCTTTTCAGAACAACAAAACAAAAAATGTTTAAAACACATCACTTAAAAGAAAATGAACTGATAAATTCCTTCTTTGTCACAGCGTTATATTTTGCTGACTTATTTGCATAACTTCACAAGAACCTTACGGAGCATTTGTTTCATTAAAAAGTACACCCTGTCTTTTGACACAAAGCAAATTAAATCCGTAAATACAAATGTATTAAGCATGTCTATATACAACCCTGAATGTTAATTTAAACACGATTTGACTTGAAACTCAACCTTTCAATTTCTAAATAATTTATCTATTCACAATGACACCTATTGTAGATGTGACAATCTGATGTTAATGAGTGAGCAAGTTGTCAAAACGTCTGGAAATAATGGCAAATCAAATACATGTTTAGAGCAGATCTCACGTTTGGAACTCACACATCTGATAACGAAGCTGGGAAACAGAGCAGCCACAGCAACCTTAAGGATGAGCAGTTCCTGGGGAGGTTTGCATACAGGGAGGCAAGGCTTCTGCTCTCATGAGACAGGGCTCACTAAGCACAGACTGTGACACTTCTCCCTTAAAACTACGGTTACTTTTAATGTGAGGCTGAGAACACTTGACGTCATTCCTTTCCTAATGTGACTCTGTAAAAGCACAAATGCATACACAGTCTGCTGCAAAGCTGTTGAGTTTTGATGGATAAACTGGAGAGCAGAAAGCACACATGATGAGAGCAGGCTGGGTGCAGCTGTGATCTGTTTGGGCCCAGCACTGCCATGCAGCTGGCAGAGGCAGCGCTCCTATCTGAGCTCAGGTTCAGTCCTTCATCCCACAGCATATTTGCAAAAAAAAAAAAAAAAAAGAAAGAAAGCTATGGAAAAACACATTTTTCAAACTGAGCAGAATTAAATGGTAGTAATGGGATCATCCTGGTGCTTTACACCTGGAACCGTACCATGAGACAACGCTGTCATGGTTACTCAAGCTGCACTGCGTTCTCAGCCACAGAATTTAGGTATCGATATGGGGATGTACAGACAGGTCTATGAGGGACAAACTTTGCAGAGTGCTGGACATGTCTGCCATTAGGTACATACGAAAGTTCAAATGCACACATTTGCATGAAGAATTAGCACTGTGTTTGATTAAAAAAGGACTCGTGTTACATTACAAAAAACAAGAATACCTTCCTCTTTGGAATTTCATGATAGCACAACAGTAAAGCAGAATCAAACCCACCCCACCTGCCAGCACTGTTCTGTAGCAGTACCACGTGGCTAATGGAACACAGTATTATCAGCAACTGTAACAGATACGTTGGGATTAATCACATCACATGCCTTCATTTACAATAACCCATTACAACACTAAATAATACGTACAGATTGGATTTTCAGGACACTGATAAATCACACCTATCTCTAGCACTAGAAAAGCTCAGCTTCCTTAGGGAAATATCTATACGGGCTGATAAAAGCCCAAAGTTGTATGCCAGTCTATAAAGAATGTTCAGAAGCCAAGTTGTCATGAAGCACCAAAAACCTACTGTGAACTCTTTAGCATCAGGTACTAATTAGCTGTAAAATCTGAGAGAAATTAAGTTGTGCCATCATGGAGAAGAGGCTGACCGTCAGCGTAGTTTCTGGGCTCAAAATAGTGGATCATTATTGCAACTATAAACCCCTCTGTTGAAATGCTGCTTTTAGGCCATTTTACATACATCCATTGCAGCAAAAAGCAAAAATCCCCAGAAGGAAAGCAGGAACACCTTCCCAGACAGCTCTGCTCAGGAACACAGAGCAGAATTGATGGGAGGCCCCACGGGTGTCACACCTGTGACATGCATTAATGCACCAGTCCAGCTGCTCTGCACATAGAAGTACCATCACATTTACTGCCCACATTTTTCTAAATGAAAATAAAAATCAAATCAAAGTCTGATTTCAAGAACAGAGAACATAACAACTTACAGTGATACTCTGCAACAGAGCTATAGCAATGGTACAGTAGAGTACAATATCGCAGGTTGGAAGGGAGCCATAAGGATCATCGAGTCCAACTCCTGCTTCCACATAGAACAGTAAGGGAAGTTAACATCTGATTACACAAATATTTAAAAGATTATTTAACACAGCTCCTCTGAAAATATAGTTTCCAGAACTGCTGCTACCACCAATTCCCACCATGAATGACAACATTTCAGGATTTTCTGGAGTGCAGACTTTTGGAGGACTGTTTTTTTCAGAGCAGGCTGCCCAAACACCTGAAGGACGGGGCTGGACATACTGCTGCAGCAGCGTGTGGACACCTGCATAGGTAGCCACTGTGCATGAGAGTTCAGCTGGAAACACAACTACTGCACAGCACATGCATGTTTTCATACTTTTCTCTTTCATAGCTCCCTGTATCCTACAATTCAACTGAAATCCTGACCTCTGAGTGGTCATTCACTCTGTACTTCTTGTTGGAGAGGAGACATAGACACATGTAGTTATTACTAAATGAAAGGCCTTCTGATGTGAGAGGTGATCTGTGGGCCTTCCTGGCGTCAGTCCCTCTGCTGCATCCCCACGTGTTTGATGGCAATATGTGCATTTCCGTGGTGTAGAAGGGATCCATACATTCCTTTCTTGTTGTTTGTGCTTCCGTATACAATTACATCCATGCCATTAAATATTGTGTTACATGGTATGTTCACATAATGCACGTAAGAGACAAAATTAAAGGAAGTGTGTTTGCACAAAGAGCAATCATACATTCTAGTAACCACAAATTGAGAGGAAAGTTAAAAATGGCTAAGGAATGCAAATGAAAAGAAAATGAAATACAGCTCTTCATAAAGGTTATCAAAAATAAGCTTTTAAAATGTATCAAAACAATCTTAGAAATATGGATATGTGAAGCTAACAGAAATGCATACTTTGAATGCACATGCAATGTAAGGATCATAGAATCACAGAATGGCCTGGGTTGCAAAGGCCCACAATACTCATCCAGATCCAAACCCCCGCTGTGTGCAGGTCGCCAACCAGCAGCCCAGGCTGCCCAGAGCCACATCCAGCCTGGCCTTGAATGCCTGCAGGGATGGGGCATCCACAGCCTCCTTGGGCAACCTGTTCCAGTGCCTCACCACCCTCTGTGTGAAAAACTTCCTCCTCATATCCAACCTAAACCTCCCCTGTCGCAGTTTAAAACCGTTCCCCCTTGTCCTATCACTATCCACCCTTGTAAACAGCCATTCCCCTTCCTGTTTAAATGCTCCCTTCAAGTACTGGAAGGCCGTATTCATCATTCCTATGGGACAGTGACACTGCTCACCTCCTTATTTTCCAGTTTCAGCCTTTCACAGTTTGTGATCTATCTCATTTGCCAATACTTTTAATAAGAGTGATCTGTAACTTGGTGTCCAAACTTTGTAAGGAATGAGCTGTTCAGCATGCCAGTCCTGTTAGTAAGCATGCTGACTGCTCTAAAGTGAATATTTTTGTTCCATGCACTCGAAGGGGAGCTCTGAAACCGCACTGCCTAAGGAGAACAAGGAAGAAGCCAAGTTCTGTTGAACTAAGCTTGAAGCCATCCTGGCCAGGCAACGCTCCAGTTACTTATACTACCAATTGCTCTAAAACATGTGGGATTGTTGGAGAAATTATGTTAGTGCATCAGCCTCAGATAACTCTATGGGCAGTGCAGGGAGAACAGCTATGGTTACAATACAGAGATAGCAGATCGGGCTCAGAAGTTCCTGAGCTGCACTCTGATGGGATGCAGGGGCTGATGGTGGAGAGCTCCTCACCCTGTCCTTGTACTCTGCTGGACAGCTCCTGCTGGACACTTTTAGGGTAAGGGAGAACTTTGGTCCAACCTACTACGGCCTTTCTTACGTTTTTATGACTGCTGTCATGCGATCCACCAGGCACGATTATGTGAAAATATTAAATTTTCAAGTGGTTTGCTTTCTTTGCTCCAGAGGTAGAATGTTTTGTAAGGTCTTTCTTTTCTACTTACTTATTTCTTAAATTTGCTTTTTTTTTTTTTTCTCAAATTGGCACTTAGAAAACATTTACATATGGAAGACATGAAACAGATTAGGAAAACCACAAAAACATAATTTTATACACCTAGTGGAGACTAGAATTTTAAATATTATCACACCTTCTCTGACAAGCACACAATTAGTGTTCAAAACTCTGGATTTTACGACAAAAGAGCAAATTAAAATGCTTTCCCTGCTGTAAGATATTACAGACCTCTTTTCAGGACAAAGGTACCCATGCATTTCACCACAGAGTGTATGTGTCACTCAGCAAGGCTTTCCTTATTACAGACTCCTAGCTCCCATTAGATCACACTTTTTCTTTTTGCAGTTTCAACCACTTTTAGATGCCATATTCCTTGCACATTCAATCTGTTCTTTTGGACACAGCTATAGTTCAGCTATAGACACGCGTGTTAGGCTAACAATTTTTTCTTGAAGATATCTTTTGTGTAGCAAGCATTTGGTGCATAAACCAGTTAGGGAAGCATCATCAGGCCAAAATATGGCCTGTTTCACAGCGCTGCCAGAAATTTCTCAATAGGTAACTACGGTACAAATTCAGTTCTGCAAGATATAGCATGAAGAAAAAACAATTTATACTATCAAAATAAGTCAAAGAAAAAAATAAAGAACTGAGATAAAGGTTGGATACACATTTGTATAAGCATTAGGACACACGCGCATGTAAACAGATAGATAGATAGATATGTGCATATATATATAAATATACCTTCCCCTCCTCAGCGTTTTGTTGACATGAATTGTGAACGTCTTCTTCTCTTACTAGTTTTCCAGGCCATGAAGTCAGTCCTTTGATTTGGCCCCAGACCAAGTCGCCAACATTAAACGTCCTCGGCCTGTAATGTATCAGCTCATTGGAAGAAGGGGAATCTGGATTCCTTAGGTCATCTTCACTACTGATGCTTTTAGCATCTGAAGGGCTAGGCACACACCCATTAATGCTTTTGGCATTAAAATCTCCATTGTAATGGATGTAGTCTTTAACTAATGAACTTTCCAAACTATTTGAGGAACTTGGAGATTGCTCTTCCAGAATCAGGTCTTGTTTAGAAGTGTTCAGCAACTCCCCGTATCCTCTGTTCTGCTGAGGCCTATTTCCATTTATGTGTGCACATCGTTCCACAGTGTTCTCCAGTCTTTCCTTAAAACTCATCATAGTTCTTTTGTAATTGTTATACCTGAAATTCTCCTCCAACATTTTATCACTTTGACAGTTTCGCTGTGATAACAGTATCTGATGCTGCTCGCCTTGCAACAATGGCAGTGTGGAGATGTTATTGGGCCTTTCGTGACAAGGACTACTATGGATATGGGTGGAGTGGTCTAGAAACTCCTCACATTTCCACCTATTTATCTCACCGACAGGACTTTGCTCCCCTTCCCACTGTTTTTTGGGTGTGTTACAACTTGTTGATTTGTAATATTCATACCCATCCCCTTCACTTGAATTTTTCCCATGCTCTGAATTCTTCAGTACTCGCGTTCCTCTAGTGTTCCTTATCCTACCTTCATGATCAGAAACAGCAATGTTTCTTCCATGGATTACTGCACTGACAGCACTAGAGAGATTTAGCGGGTCACCAATTGAGGCTGTGAAGGCACTCATGGCACTCAAAGCTGGAATGGGACTCATTTGTGTGGTACTGCTAACAGCAGTGGTGATCACTACTTGCATTCCCTTGCTTGCAGCATCTACGACTGCTTTGTAGATCGCATCCACTGATGTATCACCCTGAGCAGCGACATTGAGGTTATCCTTTGCCTGTTGACCAAGAGATGGTTCAGTTCTTTGCTGCAAATCACAAGATGTTTCTTGGAAAGGAGGAAGCATAGCGTTGGAGCTCTCAGGAACTGGTGCCATTCCCATCTGAGTGACCATTCTTTTGTTTAGGGCAGCAGCATCTTCCTGCATTCTCACCTGAAAAAAGTAGAGAGAGAGATGGAAATTGCTACTGTGCTTACAATTCCACTTCAATAGAAAACAATCTCATTTTAATTAGAAAAAAATGGAAATGACACAACCTAGCACTGAGCCTACGTTTTCAATTCCTTTTTCAGAGTCTTTTTAGACCCACCTTTTCTCTCCCAAATCTTTAACAACACCACAAAGTACTTCAATATTCCTGTTCTTAACTGTTCTCTTCTGCTCCTTTTCAGACCCCCAAATTTTCTTTGGCCCTCTCTACCAGCTGTTCCTCTGGGCTTCCTCTACATCCCTCTTTCAGTTTCTGGAATGTAGGCCATCACTGTTCTTTTTCAACTGGCTAGCATTTCTGTTGTCCACCTTTCAGTTTTTGCTTCTCTCATGGGATGTCTTTACTTCAGACCTGTGTAAACCATGCCCGCACCCCTCAGTATTGCATCTGTAATGTCAGGCATGGCCACAGCAAACTGTAACCTTCAGATGAAAGTAACTGTGTGTTTTATATTTCTTGTCACACATATAGGCAGTGAAGGCGGTGTCACTAATACTGCTGCAACAAAAAAACTGTTTCAAACAAGGGCAAAATATTTCCAAAAGCTCCCTTATTAAGTACTTACCACTACTATTTATATAACTGGGAATCTGAAGCAACAAAAATACTGAAATGAATTTACAAGAATTCATTCACAAAGGGAGGTAGCAGGCGGATAGAGGATGGATTTTGCAGTAGCAGTGAACTGTCTACACTGAGAGAATGACACATCATCTTTTTCCTTCTTAAGGGAAAAAACATTTTCTGGCAGTATGCATGCGTCCATCTTCACGTCTTCAGTTCTCCAGCAACCACAGCAATACTGAGTACTAACAAACACATACTGTAATTCTGTTTTCATTAACTATTTCGGCTGCTATGCTTCCTGCCAGTTTGTTAGTTGAACAGTTCACGTTGTATGATGAAGAACTATTTAGGAGGATAGCAGAGAGGTATCATTCTTTTTGCACAATTTGCCACTGCATGTTCATTATCATCCCTGGTTTTGTCAGTCTATAAAATCTACATCCAAGCCAGCTATTCCATTCAATTTTAGTGGGAATGTATGAGAGGGCTGGTACATAATCACCTATGATCATTTAAGTTTCTAATTACTGTAGAGTGCTATCAACATTTCCTTCTCACCCCTGAATTGCAGACTGGTCTAAAAGGGAATTTATGATCCTTTTTTTTCAGAATGGAAAACAATTTTGCTGAAAACGCACAGTAATTGTCAGAACATGCACAGCCTATTATTTTTCCAATACATTGAGCATAACCATTTCCAAAGAAACTATATCCAGTTTCTAAGACAGAAAATATCAAGTTTCAGTACAAATGTTACTGACTTGCAAAACTCAAAAACAACTGAAAGAGGCAAGCAGCTGAATTCGCCGTGTTGTCTTAAACATTCAGCAAAAAAAAAAAAAAAGAAAAAAAAATCCAACTATGGAGGGTACATTTTACCTAGTGAGACTTGCACATAAGTTTGAATATCAATTTCATTTTGTTTTCTACCTGGAAATTTTGGAACAGACATGCCATGGGGTTTGGGTTGTTAGCTGGGCCAGGAATTGGGGGCTGGCCTTGAAAGCCCTGCATGTTCTGATACCCCTGGAGAAGGTGCTGTTGCTGCTGATTTGAAGGAAACATCTGATTGTTGTTTAATAGTGACTGGAGATGACTCAGTTGATGGTTATTCAAAGTAGTGTTTATAGATGACATGTCACCTGTAATTCAAACACAGGGAAACGTAAGTCAGTACACTTTCCAACAATCAGGAGGAATTTCCTCAACTCAAATTTCAACTGAGTGCTAAGCAAATGCCTCTGCAAAACCACACTTTTCCCCTTCAATCTTCTATGGAATGGTCCTCAAGGCATACGTCTCCTACTCTTTATTCCTTTATTTCTTCAGTTTTGCTTCTTTTGCATGTCACATCTATCTGGACTCTCTCTAATGGTTTCTGACATGACTATCTTTGCCTTTGGAACGGTACACAGCCAAGTATGGCACAATGAGCTTCTATGATATTCGATGTCTTGGGATCTTATTCCTAGTTTCCAAAGAGTGACTGCTTCAAACAGTACTGAGGTGGTGAGGGGGGGAGAGGAGGAGGAGAGAGAGAGAGAAAAAAAGAGAAAATAATTTAAAAAACTCAACAAAACTATTTGTTTCATTAACTACAACAAAATGAGGCAGTCTAATTGCAAATGAGCAAAGGCTTTTTGGATCACAGGCATGTCAGACCATACTCTAAACAATTTTTTTAAACATTCTGGAGAAGTTGCTGCATTAACATTTCGTATAACATGAAAATCTCACTGTACACAACAATTCTGGTTTTAGTAAAGCATACATGGCTATGAAGTAATAAAGCTTTAGAATTTATCAATTTACAAGATTTTTTTTTCATATAAATTTAATGTTTTTCTTAAAATATGCATTTGCATAATCTATGGTTAGCTGTATTTTACATGACATAGGTCAAGGAGGGTTGACTTCCTGGTAGCCATTTAGCAAGTAGGCATGAGGGATTCGGTTCCACACTTATCAACTCTGCCAATATTTTTTCCTCCTCCTACTGTAATCCAAACAACAGAGGCATACTGCCTACACTACATATTCTAGGTAAAATTCATCAAAAGTCATGGGTGAAAACCTTATATTGAAAGACTTTAGCACTTGGTTTGGGCTGTTGGTTCTTGTCAGTGAAATACCCTGGCTATCTAAGCTCCAAGACACCAGAGAAATGAGAAAACATAAACGCACAACGAAGGGCTCAAAAGGGCAACCTTCCTCTTTGAACTTGCAAAGCATTCGCTTTGAGTGCTTGATGTATTTGCTTTACAGGCAGTGTGCTTTCTGATGGTTTTGGCACTTCTGATTCATTTGCAAAGCGGCACTTGGCCATTTCTCACCTACTGCACAGCTACTCGTACTAACCCTGTGATGCCACACGCACTTGAAATGAAGCACTGCATCCCAGAGATGCACCTATGCTTGAAGACTTGAAAAATGAACCAAGTCCAATTGATTAGAGAACTGTAAGGTGTATACAGTCGGTCTAGGTGGCATCAGAATTAAGAATAGAGTATAAAATAATTTCCAAAACCAGTATTAAATATTATTGAGTAAAATTAGAATATAGTTTAAATGCCATACAGGAGCAGTTATAAACAAGCTGTAACATACAAAAGCCTTATAAAAAAAGTATGATAAAGTGTCATCTTTAGAAACTAGAATCAGAAATTCCCCCACCCCACCCCTCCTTGCTTTTCCTTTTATATCTGTGAAGAAATTGAACTTACCAAGCAGACCTGTCCCCAGTAGAGGGTTAAGTAGCTGTGGCACCACAGAGTTACTGTTGAGTTTAGCTGGACCAGATGTACTCCCAGCATTATTAGATATGTTCAGCAATGTTTCTGCCATTGACACCACTGCTGTCCCACCACCCAGGGTAGAGACAGACAGTGCTGCCACTGCTGATGATGTAGTGGTTGTGGTAGTGGTTGCTTGGGAGGAGGTGGCTATGGAAACCTCTGGATGATTAGCAGTGTTGCCCGATGCAGAGTTCAGGACACCTCCCACCAGCTGGGGATTCAAGGCCATTAATGCTGAGGCCCCAGAGACAGCTGGGAGGAGCAGGGGGTTAGAAGTAGTGTCAGTGCCTGAAAAGCTTGGTAAAGGGTTCCCCAAGGGGTTGCTTAAAAGGGTCTCAACCCTGTTGCTTTCTGACTGATTGCTTGGCAAATGGTCAGGTGGGGCTGTCATCTGTGTTACTGAGGGCAAAGGGTTATTTTGCTGTTGCAACAAATCTGAGATGGTCATATTGAAAGATGGTAGGGGAAGCATGGCAGCTGCTTGGGCTTGGTTCTGGAGGAGGGTTGCTAGAAGCTGAAAATGAACAGGCTGTAATACCTGCCCATCCACGTCACTGGAGAGAAAAGCTAAAGCAGCATTTACATTCGGGTTGAGAAAACCTAAAGGGTTGAGGTTGACCTCAGACTTGCCTTCTCCTGCTGAAGGCTGCAGTATATTTAATAGATTCTGGCTTAGGAGATGTTGCTGATTCACTGGCAAAGAGATAGGTAGAGAACTGAGGAGGTTTTGATTCAAAGAAGGTGGAAGATTGTTGTTTGAAGAGCTGTTCTGCGGGAAATGAAGCGAGTGTTCGTGGCCAGCGAAAGGGAAATCACCCCCAATGGGCAGCTGGCTCTGAAGTGGGTTTCCAGCTGCAGTAGTGACTATAACACCATCCTGAAGAACAGATGTTGTCTTTGTGATGGCAGGTTGGCTGGTGCCAGCTATGGCTATTGATGATGATGGTCCCGAACCCCCTGCAATGCAAAAGAACAAAAATATTAAGAGTATGCTGCCTGCTGGGTGACAGTCATCCAAGTCATAAAGTAACTGGGCCAATCCAAAACAGCAATGTTGGATACCCATGCACAGGAAAGAAAACGTTTTGAGCATCAAAACTTAAAATACAAAGGAATCTGCATCAACTACTTCATTACTACTGGCTGTGCACATCTCATCAGCAATTCCTTAACACGCTTGTACTTCTCTTCCATGTCTCTGAATGAGGATTTAAGAGGATTTCAGTCATACAAATGTTGACTAGTGTAAAACTAAAAGCGATCATAACTCCATTTACATCATAATGGACCAATAATAAATTAACTACTAGGATGAAATATCAAGGTGAGACATGAATGATGTTCAGTGAAAAGTAAAATGACCCAAGTGCAGCTGTGAAACTTATGGTCTTTTGAGAGAATTAAAGCAAGTGAAATTACTTTGAACCACACCCTTCTTCTTTATTCACATTGCAATTCATTGGAGAACAAACATTAAAAACATGTATGGAAAATACATTAGAAAAATGTAAAATTAAAGAGGTATTTAACTGGAGTTCTGATGCGATAAAACTACTTTCCATTCTCAGTTGCCCTGAAAACAGAGCTGATACAGAAACACACTGATTATCTGAAAGTATAATTTATCGTTTTTCTAAACAAATACTATTTGAAAAGGGATATGCAACCATGCCTTCAATTGGCATGAACAGAATCCAATCTTTATGTCACTTCTAGCTAAAAATACCATTTTTTCAAGTACTGTAACATACTGACTACTCAAAAAGGTGCAAAATTAACATAGTTCATGAGGCATTACACTGAATGCATGAGAAGAAAGTCCATATGCTCTTTTGCAGGTATCACTATGATGCTTCTATAAAGAAATTAGATAATAAATTAAGAAAAGAAGTAAGCACGGGTTGTAATCATAAAGCACAAGGTATCCTATTCTGTTGAGGAGAAACGTGTTAACAAAGCAATGAAACCAGTTCTGTGACAAGCACATTTCTCTGGGCAGCTGCTTGGAACTCAAAAAGAATAAGCATTGGGGATAACAAAACAAACCATGCACTAAAAACACACATCCCATTGGAGTCCCACTCATGGCTTTGCATTTAAAATTGCAGATGATGCAGGAATAGAGATACTGCATTAAGCCAAGATTTGGTAAAGGCCAGATCTCAGCATGCACTTGCATTTATTTCTAATGCAGCCATAAACTCTGGTTACTCCAATTCAATGAGGCAAATCCCAAAGAATCCAAACTGCTTGTTTCCTTCTGCGCCAATCTCCAAAACACTATAAAATGCATTTTTGGAGAAGTTATATAAACATCTTTAAGATCTCTGTGGCTAAAAGCAAATTCTTTTTGTTTCATTGGTGCAAAGGCTCTTACAAGACTCCCAAACACTGCGGGCAGGTTTGTGGCAGATCAGTACACCCCGGGGAGATGGCAGTACACATTAACTGACAGATGCTGCTCTTCAGGGAGGATGAGGCACCAGGACAAAACTTTCTTGCTTAACAAAAAAAGGGTGGGTTTGTTTGTTTGCTTGCTTTTGTGGTTTTTTTTTGTTATTTTCCAATCGGGTACTTTCTCCAGCTGTGATCTACCTTACAATGAACCAACACCACCCAAATATCTTCACACGGCCTTCCCTGTAAGAACTCATGCCATGCAAGCACAGGCTATCTCCAGTTCAGCCTCAGGGACAGCAACAGATACACCTGGCTTCCTAATACACGGTCCTGTTGCTTTAGGATTCTGCTGTGCACTGGTCTTCTTTCTACCCCACATAAAGCTTCTGGAGATCTAATCTGAGAGGTCCAGAGTAACACTTGTCCTTTCTACAGATTAATTAGGCAATTGATCGCTACTGAAAAGATGTCTTGATGGATTCTGAGCAGAAGAGAGGGTTGTGCACGAACTGCAGCCAGGACTTGAGAAGCTGGGGAGCCACGGAGGGGGTGAGCAGAAGAAAACAGGAGAGAGTCACTGCCTGCTGCAGCTGCTGTGAACCTGCCCTGGGCACACAGACACCCAACAGGCAGGAAGGCTTCCAGTCGGTACTGAGCAGTTCTGCACTGGGCAGCAGCTAAAGCAATATTTAGAACTGCTTTCTGGGGCAGGTCTATCCACATGCATGGACTGAAGCACCAGAAGAGAGTTTCTGGATCTCTTCCAAAAGGCCATCACCTCCAAGCCAACATTTCAATGAAGGATACATGCATACCCATCCTCATTAAAGCCCCGTGTGGCTGGACAGCTCCTCAATGTTTGGCCCCAAACCAAAAGACAACATCTGAGTTAACTTCCAAAAGATGGATAGCTTCCATAATTGTGATTCACAGCACTGCAGCAAGAAGGAGCACCTTCCTTGGAAGGAACAAGGTCAGGGATAGTCCTGCCTGGCCCTCCCCAGTCACACACCAGATTCTCCAAGGCCCAGGACGAACGTGAGCAGCCCTGTTTGGCTTACAAAGAGAAAAAAGCGATGGCCCACACCGCAAGTGAAGGTGTGAACAGGTCAGCAAAGCAGCAAGGAAAAAAGCCACGTACCTCATCAAAGTGCCTGTGGAAAGTACTGCCAGCACGACAGAAGCAAAGTCCTAATAAGTCTGCCCTTTCGACTGGGCAGTAACAACTGCAATATAGAATTGACTCAGCTGTCCTTTGAGGTCTGACTCTCATCCACAGTGATACGTAGGCTATACAGATGCAGTATTTGCTGGGAGTTTCAAAGAGGGAAGGCTGACAGTGAAGACCAGACATAGATGTCAGCTAAAAAAAGCCCCTTTGCATACGAGCTGCCTCTCTCAGCAATGCTGCTGGGAAACCAAGGCTGTAATAATCCTGACTGCTTCCATTCACAGAGAGAACAGAACCCAGAGCTCCAACATGAAATGCTGCCTGAATGCTGTACCCACATTCCAGTGACAGCTAAGATGTTCTGATGAGAAATGTGAATGAGAGTCCAGAACTAAAGGGAAGTCACAAGTTTCCTAAAAACATGGTATTCTGAATCCTGGATACCCAGGGCATCATAAATGTTAGCTCAGAAACAGTCCTTGCTATTCAGAAGCTCTTAAGAGTAAATACAGAATGAAACAAAGAACGAAGAGTTGCACTAAAAGTTGTAAAAGCCCAGGATGACAGCAGGTTTCAACTCTTGCAGACACAGATGTCTGCAGAACTTCTGCCTCTGGCTGAGAGGAAGGGACAGACTTTGTTATGCACCGAGAAGAAATATCCAGAGAGCTAGAACAGATATATATCCATTCTTCTAGAAGTTCAAATAAATGCTTTGGGAATAAATTAATTTGAAATTGAGTAAGACATACATTTTTAAAATTATTCCTTTGTGGCTACACTAGTTTATTCGTGTACATTTTTGTTTGGTTTTCTTTTGAAAGCAAGTTGATTTTCCTATGTGCATTTCATCTTTGCTCCTTAATTTTTTTTTTTTTCCCCCTAAGTATTGCTTGAGAGGTATTCTTAAGCAGATGCAGCACGTAATGAAATCAATTAGCACTGAGAAGACTCACTCCCTGCCCAGTTAAAACCATTAGAAGATATTTATTATTTACTTGTTTCACCATGAAAACACTGGCACACATCTGTGCATGTGCTGCTGTAGGGATGGAACAGTGTAGTCAGAGGTCTGTCTTGTTGTGAATCCTGTTTTTTAAACAGTGCTAAGATCTAAGATTTGAGTAATACTAAGCATGGTAAGTTTCAGGGGTGTCCTCAGGGCCACCCAGCCACGTGCCAGGCCTCCAGAAGCTACATCAATAAGCACTGAGGACTGCTATTGGCCTAGAGACACAAGCACACAGTTGGCATAAGTGGCAATATTTTTAAATAGGCAGTTTTAGGAGGTTTAACTTTCACAGAATGATCATCGCTAATGGAAGCAGTGTGATCTCATATCCCTTTAAAACTGGAGACATCTTCCTGCTTTAACTCCATATTCCATCACTTACCTACACACTCAGCACCAACAGATATATATTCTTGTAATTATATTCTCTGTATTCCTCTAGAATGGAAAACATTTAAGATATTTATCTGCTATCACATCCATCCTAGTGCTTTCAATTCCAAAGAAGTTCAGCAGTTAACCACAAACCACTGATGGCTGGGTTCCTTATCAAGATCCTCTGCTCCCCTGAGACAACAGAAACAACGAACGCCAGGCCAATAAATGGAGTGCTCTTCCCAGGCCAGCAGGATCAGGCAGAGCCTGGCCTCCTCTTGTGTACAAGGACAAGACTGTGCTCTTCTGCTCTTCTGTTCATTTAAGGATGAAAATTACTCAGGGCTACAGCATGAGGTCTCTGCATCCTCTGAACACAGAATGAACCAAGACCAAGACCATGAAAATTTTGTACAAGTGCAGAACGCCCAGAGCAGTTTCTAGGGCAACATAAATGCTTGAATTTAGGTACCTTAAGTGCCTGAATCAATTTCAATCTTGGTTCTTTTTACTGCCCTTGTGTGTTCTGACTTCTCCTCTACATTTTATCATCAGTGCAGCTTTTAAAATAACAGAATCATAGAATCACTCAGGTTTGAAAAGACCTTAAAGATCATCGAGTCCAACCATGACCTAACCAAACTACCCTAACTAACAACCTCCCTCTAAATCATGTCCCTGAGCACCACATCCAAACGGTTCTTAAACACATCCAGGGATGGTGCCTCAACCACCTCCCTGGGGAACTTATTCCAGTGCTTAACAACCCTTTCTGGAAAGAAGTTTTTCCTGATATCCAACCTAAACTTACCCTGGTGCAACTTAAGGCCATTTCCTCTCATCCTGTCACCTGTCACCAGTGAGAAGAGACCAACCTGACTTGGGGAAAACTGTTCTTATGAGTCAAGAGGAAGATGAGGGAGGTTGTGGTAATGTGTAGGTGCTCATCTCAGGTATAGGAAGAGGGTAAGCGATCCATCTGAAAGCCTGGAGAAGCCA